GAGCGGGGCCGGCTCCCGGCATGCCGCGCGCTGACAGCCTTATAAATAGGCGCCTCTGCGGGCTCGGCGAGGACGGCAGGGCACGCGCTGGCCCCGCGCCCACCGCACCTCCGCAGGTCAGTGCGCCGCCTCCGGGCGACGGGGGCGTCTCCGCGGGGAGTGGGGACGCGCCCTCGCCCGTGCGCTGTGTCAGGCGCCCCGTGCGCGGCGCGTGTCTGTTTGTGTCCGTGGTTATCATCTGCGGGGTTTGCCCGTCGGTGTTCCCGGCTCCGGGGTTTGTGTCACACTGCATGTGCTTTTGTTGATCTCTGGGCGGCGGAAGCGGGTGGGGACGGGGGTGAGGGGTGCCGCCTGCCCAGCTTCCCAGATCCCTTTGTCCCTGTCTGCACTCCGGGGGCTCCAGGTCCCTGCCCTTGGCCGGTCTTAGTTGGGGCCTAGGGGGCCCTGGGCACCTGCCTGAGAACCTGGGCATGGGCAGCTGTGTCACTTCAATACTGGGACACCCCCCCTCTGCCCCATGCTCAGCCCCAGGGATGCTGAACCCCAACCCTGCCCCGGCCTTCTGCCCGGGCTGCCCACCCAGGACCCTTCCACAGCACCCGTCCAGCTCAGAGAGGAAGCGCTGGCTGCCCAAGGTCACGCAGCAGAGTGACTGAGTTGGGGTTTGAACCCCGGCCTGTCACCAACCACCGGGAAGGCGGCGCTCACATCAGAAGCCGGGAGAGCTGGGCCTTGCCGTGGCTTTGCCTTGCGATTGGGGTTAAAGTCACTGTTCTCTGGGCCTCAGCTCCCCCAGCCCCCTAGCAGACCACCCTGTCACCCTGGGGCCCAGGCACGGGGGGGCGGGGCTTATAAGGCCAGGGTGCTCAGCCCGTAACCCAACTCCATCTTGGACCCCTGGCCTCTGCTAGGCCTCCTCAGGACCGGAGTTATTTTGGACTAAGGAAGCAGCAGGTGCTGGAAGGACCCAGAGACTTCGGTTACCAGGAGGGGGCAGGGCAGGAAGGGTCATCTCCGGGGGTGTTGCTGTGGCTATCGCTGGCCTGGGGACGGGCCCCTCCCCTGGGCAGCTGCCGAGGGGCCCTTGGCAGTTCATACTCTCCTCGAGCACACTCAGCAGCGCTGGGGCCGTAACTCATGCCCCCGGATGGCACAGCCATCAGCAAAGCCGCCAAAGGTCCTGCCTGTGGGGCCAGGACCAGCAGACCTGAGTTTGACCCCAGCGGGACCTTGGAGCTACCTGCCCTCTCCCAAGCCTCAGCTCCCTCCCCAGATGGAAGGAGGGCTCCAGCCCTGTGCCGAGCCCTGGCCAGCCCCAGTCTGGTGGGGGACCCAGGCTGCGGTGTTCAGAGCAGGCGCTAGCCGGTGTGGGAGTCCCGGGTGGAGGCCAGGAAGGCTTCCTGGAGGCTGTGAGGCCTGATCTAAAGCCTAAGTAATGGCCACTGAGAGAGGACATCCAAGTGCTTGGGCGCAGCACTCCCAAAGGCCTGGAGGGGGAACGGGGAATGTCGTCATGGTGGTCGAAGGGGTTCCAAGCAGATCCATTCATTGGCTGTGGCTAAAGCTGCAGGGAGTGGCAGGAGACACATGGCCCTGGCCCCGTCAGTATGCTGAGGCTCCAGGCTTGGCTTTGGGAGCCGAGGGGACCGCATGTGAAAGGTTGTCTGTGACTTGGTGTGGTGCTGACTGCCCGGTGGGCGGCAGTGCCAGGCCTTTCTTGGGACGAGGCTGCTGTGGTGGGAGGTTGATGGGAGAGAGGTTTGGGGGCCCGTGTGGGGCATAGGTGCATAGGAAGAGGCAGGTGTAGGATGTCACGAGGATGAGGCCTCTGCTCCAAGAGTGGAGAGGCACGAGGGATGCGGTAGTCTGTGTGGGCTCTGAGAAGTCGTGGGGGGGGTGCCTGGGGCCTGGCAGGGGGTCAGGTGGAGGGGCCCTGCACCCTGAAACCAAGAGTGAGAGGCTGGGGTCGGGATGCCGGCTGGGGTTGAGGGGTTGGGGTAGGGCAGGTGAGGAAGGTAAGGCAGGTGGGGAGGAGAGTTCTGTGGAGTCAGGTGGGGGCGGCCATGGCAGCAGGGTGGGGTTGCAGGAGGGATGGGGCAGGCGGGGGCCAGCGAGGCGTGGAGGATGAGGACCTTCGTGGGGCAGGAGCCTGGGACCAACTCACTTTCAAGATGCTAGGCTCTGGTGCACAACTGTAATCCCAACACTCTGGGGGGCTAAGGCAGGAGGATCACAAATTTGAGCTAAGCCTGGGCAACTTGGTGACTTAGCAAGACACTGTCTCCAAATTAAAAAACAAAAACAAAAGAACACAAAACACTCGTGGTGGCATGTGCTTGTAATCAGCATGGCACTCGGGAGGCTGAAATAGGAAGATTGCTGCAAGTTCAAGGCCAGCCTGAGCTACGTAGCGAGTTCAAAGCCAGCCTGAACTACACAGTGAGACCTTGTTTTTAAATAAATAAATAAATAAATAAATAATAAATAAATACCTTTAAAGGGGGCTGGGGGGCAGTAGCTCAGTGCAAAGGTCTTGGGTTCAATTCCCAGTACTGAAGAAAAAGAAGACTAGAAAAGGTTGTGTCCCTGTGAGAGGCAACTGTTGATTCCTCTGCTTCCGGCTGATGGGTCCCTTCGTGCGCCCGTGTCCTGAGCAGTCCTGTGCCAGCTGCAGACACTCATGTGCCCAGCTCCTCTGCCTGCCGCCTCCTTCTGCGGGCCCTGGGGACTGTCGTCAAGGAGGCCAGGCTGACGCTGGCCCTGTGCCCTCTTTGCTGGGGTGTGTCAAGGGGAGCGAGTGACTTCGGCAGACGCCGTCCTCGCCCTTGCACCCCCTTCCTGGTCTAGGGCATAGCAGAGCAGGAGGGGGTGGCTGCCCCCCTAGGACGGGTGAAGCGGTGAAAGCCAGGAGGAAAGTGACTTTCCCGTGGTCACCAGCAGCCCTCTGCCCTCACACTGGGCCTTGGGGCCTGGCACGCCTGCTGCCGACACTGCCACAGTGGGTGTGGCTTGGCAGAGGCCTAATCTTGGGAGGACCCCTCAGCCCTGCTGTGCCTTGCCTTGCAGCGCCCTGACCTGGCTCCCGGGCCCAAGACCTCGGCAGGATGGAAGGTATGGGGTCCCCTCCTTGCCCACAGTGGCCTGGGCTTCAGGGTGGCCATTCGTTGGGGGACACCCCTGGGAGACCCCCTGGGAGTGTGAGGGGCTGTCTGGACGCCTCACTATCCTCTCCTGGCTTCTCCCAAGGTGCGCCAGTGCCAAGATTAATTTTAGAAGTGCCGAGGCCTCCCTGAGGTTCCAGCCCCGGCTTACCTCCTCCGGCGGGATTCTAGAGCGAGTCCCTGCCCCTTCCTCCAGCAAGATCAGCCAAGTTCCTGTCCCTCCCCGGCACCCAGTTTCCCTGTTATTCCGGAGGGACTGGCCTCAAGGGTGTCTTGGGCTCCCCTGGCTCCTACATGCTGGGACGGAGAGGCAGACATGGGCGGGCGGAGAGCCTGGAACAGGCCCGCCAGGCTTCTGGCAGCACCTTCGCTCAGCGCCTGGCACTGGGCCTTGGGCTGGGTGGCTCTTAAAGGGGCCCTGCCGGCCTGGCCGCTGCCACCGTCTGAAACCACAGGGTCTAGAGCTCCGAAGTCAGCTGCCACAGGGCTGTGGCCTCCTGTCAGCCCCAGGCTTGTGCCCTTCAGACAGGGAGAAGTTATTTTTCTGACATCTGCTCTAAGCTCCCAGCCTCATGGGGCCCCAGGATCCTCATGAGCTGCCACACCCACATCCTTCTAGGCCAGGGACAGAACAGAGAGGGTGGGTACTTCTTTAGTAGGTCACACAGCAAGGTGGGATGTGACCCAGGCCCAGGAGGTCCTGGGAGTCCAGGAAGAGACACTGGGTTCTGGTTTTGCTCCTGACATTCCTTGAGCAGAGCCCTCCCTCTCTAGGCCTCAGTTTCCCTCTGCCCAGTGGGGCTGCGAGTGCTAAAAGAGCCAAGTTTGGAACACGAACTTGCTTCCCCGTTCAAGCAAGAGTTCCACTTGCCCACCTCCCTGGCAACCATCTCCATGGCAACGTATGTTGTGGTTGCCAACTCCACAGTAGTAGTGCCAAGGCAGACGGGCAATGGGCAGGGCCAGGCCTGGGAGGGGAAGGGCAGGGGACACAGCAGAACGGGATCATGGGCTGCTGTTCATCTAGGGACCCTCGAAGAGAGGCTGACCAACAGGCCAGAGGTGACGACGCCCCACACAGGGAGGCACCTCAGGAGTTGATGTTCCAGCCCAGGCCTAGGCCGTGCTAAGTTCTAACCCCCAGGTCTTAGCCACAGCACCTCCGGGTGTTGCAGACCGCTGAGATCGGCTCCCCTCTCTCTCCCACAGAAAAGCTAAAGAAAACCAAGATCATCTTTGTGGTGGGTGAGTCGCCGGCGGGCAGGCGGGTGATGGTGCAGTCACTGGTGGAGCCCAGCAGCCCTTGCCCCCTCCCTGGACCCCACCCCCTGGGTTTCTGAATGGGTGGGCGCTTGCAGGCGGGCCTGGCTCGGGGAAGGGCACCCAGTGTGAGAAGATCGTGCACAAGTATGGCTACACCCACCTCTCCACTGGGGACCTGCTGCGTGCTGAGGTCAGCTCAGGCTCCGGCAGGGGCAAGAGGCTGTCGGAAATCATGGAGAAGGGGCAGCTGGTGCCGCTGGTGAGTCCCGGGGGGGCCGAGTGCGTGATGTGGGAAAGGTGACCCCTGACCCTCCGTGGCTCCCCATTCCCCTTCCAGGAGCTCCCCAGACCCTGAGGGGCCCTGCCCTTTCGTGCCCCCCAACCAGCCACATTCCTTCCTGCCCGGATGGGGTTGTTTTATTTTGTTTTGATTTTGAGACAAAGCCTTGCTCGGTAATTTAGGCTGGCCTTGAACCTGCTGTGTAGCCCAGGCTGGTGAGCCTCCTCCTGCCTCAGCCTCCCGAGTGCTGGGGTGACAGGTGTGGGCCACCATGCCCAGCAAAATAATGTCAAGTATATTCTATTTGTTCCCATTTTTGGTGCTGAGGATTTGAGTACAGGGCTTCAGGAGCAGTAGGTGAGTGCAGTGCCCCCGAGCTGCACCCCAGCCGCGGCTTCGGACTGCAGCGGCCCCCTTAGCCCAGACAACCTGCGCCTCCCTGGGTAGCTTCCGCCAGCTCTGTCACTGCCGGTCCCCTCCCCAGACCGTGAGCTTCCCCAGAGCAGGGGAGGGCCCAGGCCTCCAGCCAGAGGAGACCACCGGGGGACAGGGAAGCTCTGTCCGTCTGTGTGTACCCAAGGGGCTGTCCAGGCGGTGGGCCAGGCCCGGGAAGGGAGGCTCAGGCCCTTGCCCCTCGCTCCTGCAGGAGACGGTGCTGGACATGCTTCGAGACGCCATGGTGGCCAAGGTGGAGTCTTCCAAAGGCTTCCTGATCGATGGCTACCCCCGGGAGGTGCAACAGGGAGAGGAGTTCGAGCGGCGGGTAAGGCACGCAGCTGAGCAATGTGGGGGGCAGAGTTCTGGCCCGCCTGGAGCCTTGAATGCTGTGTCCTTCCTCAGGCACGAGCAGGTCTGGGGACAATGGCTGCGAAAACAGCGCGCACCCACAGCACTGTCCCCAGGGTGCACGAGCACGTGCGCACAGATGCGTTCACACGCACACGGACACACGTGCAGCCCCTCCATCCACGGAGCACTCACTCTCATGAGCGTACATAGGTGCCACGAGCGCACCTACCCAAGGCCACGGCTGCGTGCATGACACACTGGCACGTATACATGTGCACACACCTAGGTCCGTACATGCATGCACTTAGACGTGTTTGGGGCCATAGGGAGGACTCGGATGGGGCTGCAAGTCCCCAGGGATTCTAGAAAATGAGGTTAGAGCCAGGCATGCTGGCGCACACCTATAATCTCAGCGCTCGAGAAGCTGAGGCGGGAGGATCCTTGCAAGTTCGGGACCAGCCTGGGATACAAAGTAAGCTCAAGGCCAGCCTGAACTGCATAGTGAGACCCTGTCAAAAAAAAAAAAAAAAAAAAGTAAAGGCTGGGCGTGGTGGCGCACGCCTGTAATCCCAGCACTCGGGAGGCTGAGGCAGGAGGATCCCTGTGAGTTTGAGACCAGCCTGGGCTACAAAGTGAGCTCAAGGCCAACCTGAACTGCATGGTGAGACCCTGTGTCAAAAAGACAAAATAATAATAATAGTAATAATAATAAAAATAAAGAGGAAAAAAAATGAGGTTAGTGACGTCCCTGTCCTTCCTGGGGACCACTGGGCAGGGCAGTCTGGGCAGCTGATCTCTCAGCTCTGGACACCAGGGGGCGCCAGCGCCACGCTGAAGGAGAAAGGGGACCTTGTAGGTGCTGTAGGGCTCATGGTTCTTCTGGGGACATCAGTACCCCGTGCCCACTCCTCAGGCTAAATGCCTATTGTTCTGACTGGGAAACTGAGACCTTGAACTGGGAAATGGAACCTCATCTAGGGCTGCCCTGGCCAGGAGCTGAGCCGCCCCGCGGAACACGGCCCCTGCCAGGGGTGGAAGGACCCTGCACGCTGCTCTGGGGCTTGAGAAAACAAGATTCCGTCCGGAGCTGAGGCAGGGACCGGGGGAACTGCAGCTAAGTGGACTGAGGCCCCTGAGGGCCAGCAGGCTGCCGGGGTCCAACAGCCACACCTAGGCCAGGGGGCCAGGGACGCTGAGAAATAACTAACCGCAGAGGTCTTTGAAAGGAGGGGAGATAAGAAGGGCTGGAAGAGCAAGTCCTGGGGCCTGGGGCCAGTGGGCTGGCGCCTGGGAGAGGAGTCCTGGACAGGTGGGAAGGGGACTTGGCGGGATCCTTGCAGCGAGGGCCCGGAAGTGAGGCTTGGGGGGTTGGGGCCAGCCCTGTGGGAAGGGGCTCCTAGCAGAGGGGACAGTGCGGGTCTCCCACGGGAAGCAGATGGCTGGGAGAGCAGAGGGCCGAGCAGGGCACGACCATGCACGTAAGGCCCTCGGGCGGTCTCCTGAGCGCACTGGGGAGCCATGGGAGAGGTTTGAGCAGAGGAGGTACAGGGAAGGTCGACTTTAAAAAGGTTCTCAGGCTGCATGGGGAAGGGATGGAAGTCCGCGCGGCTGTCTCACAGGGGGCCTTGGAGGTGGGAAGACTGGGGGAGGATGATCGCAGAGGGCAGGAGCAGGGTCCCTGTGACGTGGTGCTCCCTCCCTCCAGATCGGACAGCCCACGCTGCTGCTGTACATGGACGCAGGCCCCGACACCATGACGCAGCGGCTTCTTAAGCGTGGGGAGAGCAGCGGGCGCGTGGACGACAATGAGGAGACCATCAAGAAGCGGCTGGAGACCTATTACAAGGCCACCGAGCCCGTCATCGCCTTCTACGAGAAGCGCGGCATCGTCCGCAAGGTGCGTGGCACAGCTCACCATGTGGCCTTGGCCAACCGGCGCACTGAGCCTCAGGCAGCCACAGCTGGTCCTTAGGGGACAGCAATCCTGCCTCAGGACCCCCAGCGAATGCCATTGCTCCGGACCTAACAGCCTGTCTCCCCACAGGTCAATTCTGAAGGCTCCGTGGACAGCGTCTTCGCCCAGGTGTGCACCTACCTGGATGCCCTCAAGTAGCCACACTGGAGCCCCGCTCCCCCCGCCCCGCCTTGGCCCTTGCCCGCTCCGCCACCACACGCAGAGGAGGCTGCTTTGTCTTGGGTCTGGCGGGAGCGAAGCACTAAAGGCATCTCCAAGGACGTTTGGCTCGCCTCCTCTTTCTTTGCTTCCAGTCGGAGTCGATTCGTGCAGGGCCAGGGTCTCCAGCCCATCGCCCGCACCTGGGCCAGCCTCGTCCTCCTGCCGGGGACCCCGGCCCTCCCTTACCTAGCCGTGCCAGCCCAGGTGCCTGGGGGCATGGGCTCTCGCGTTCCTCACCCCGTGCAGCGTGGCCTCAGCCCTGACCCCTCATCTCCCTGAGCTGTTTTCTGTGCTTCCTGCGTGGGGCCTGGACGGCAGCAGGCAGCAAGGTCATGGCTGCACAGCCCCTGGGCAGTGGATGGCGCACGGCAGCCAGCGGAGGGCACAGTGGATTGGTCCCTTGATGCCCCACACTGTGGGGGTCTGAAAAGGGCGTGTATGCCGGGCGTGGTGGCGCACACCTGTAATCCCAGTGTTCAGGAGGCTGAGGCAGGAGGATCGTTGTGAGTTCAAGGCCAACCTGGGCAGCATAGTGAGACCCTGTCTCAGGAAAAAAAGAAAGGAGGAAGGGCGTGTGATGAATGGGGAGTCGTGTTTGGGCCCCTCCCTGAGAGCGGGTGATCTGCAGCCCCCCGCCCCCAGTCCCCAGTGTGGCCCTGCCCACGTTCCAGCTGTCTGCTGCGACCGGTTTCCAATCTAAAATGTTTGGTGTCACCTTCAGCTCAGGACAGGGACTCACCGAGCAAGGGCTGGGGGTTGGCGGTGACCGGAAACCAGATGTGCTGGCGACACCCAGGCTCAGGAGGACCAGCGCCCCTCCGTGTCCCCTGCTTTCTTGGCCGTGTCACCGGGTGCTCACCCCACCCCAGCCCGGCCGGCCGAGGTGGCGGAAGGACACCCGTGTGGGGCGATGGTGCTCATTCTGTGTCCCCTGCTAGTGGCCAGAGTGGCTCTGCCTTCCCACTGACGTTGGGTATTTAAACTTTCCTTTAAATAAACATTTAAGGGCCGGGGATATAGCTCAGTGGCACAAGCACCTGCCTGGCAGGCGCAAGGTCCTGAGTTCGATTCCCGTTGCCAAAATAATAATAATAAACATTGAAGTTACAAAGGTGAGTCTATTGAAGGAGGAACGTGGTGTGAGTATGTGGGGGACACGGCAGAGGCGGGCACCAAGTGAGGCAAACCTGTTAGCTGGGGTGTTGGGGGCCCTGTGCAGCCGGCCCCTGCTCCCGCAAGGGCCTCTGGAAACCCCTCGCGCGGGAGCCGCGAGTCACTGGCCGGCACGCCGCCCCGTTGCCGCTGTTACACTGGCAAGCACACACCTGTGGGCGGGTATAAACAGCAGACCCGGTGGTTGTCCCTGGGTCTCCATGGACGTTGCTTCCAGGAGCCCTTCACGGATATGAAACTGAGGGCGTTCCGTGGGTACCTAGCAGCAGGGGCCCCTTATCCACAGCGCACGGAGCGCGCATCCGCCTGTGTCTCCGGGACCGACGCCGCCCCGCGCAGGGCAAACCCTGGAAGTAGTGCTGCGCCGTGTTGCTCAGGGAAGGAGGACAGGAAGAAAGCCTGTGCGTGTTCAGTACAGTGTGATGTTTTAAAAATTATTATTTGCTGTACTGGAGGCGGAACCCAGGACCTTTGCACTGAGCTACATCTCCGGTCCTTTTGTTGTTTTTCATTTGGAGATAGGGTCTCACTAAGTCTCTAAATTGCCCAGGCTGTGCTTGAACTTGTGATCCTCCTGCCTCAGCTTCCCCGAGTGCTGCGGTTGCAGGCTGGTACCAAATCTTCCTGATCTAGGGTTGGCTGAACCCACAGGTGCAGATCCGGTGAGAGAGAGGGCACCTCTCAACTGTTCACTGGCCTCCATCCATCTAGAAAGGGATCCAGAGAGGCTCTTTGGTGAAAATCTCAAAGCACAAGTTTCAAACTGAAGTGAGGGCTGGGGATTTAGCTCAGTGGCAAAGCACCTGCCTGGCAAGCACAAGGTTGTGAGTTCAATTCCTGGTACCGGAAGAAAAGACCAAAAAAAAAAAAAAAAAAAAAAAATCAAACTGCAGTGACTGCCGCCCTGTCCTTGCAACTGTCACCTTCATGTAAGAGCTTCCCTCAGGTGTATCGTTCAGTCAGCAGGCGTCTCTGCACCACCTGCTGTGCTGGCTGGCCTGGCTTCTCCCAGTCCTGGGCTCCCAGCTGGAGCGGGCAGTGCGTTCAAATTCCACCCCAGCTACTCAACCCAGGCCAGAGCCAGCAGCCGAGTGCTCCGGCTCAGGAGGCTGCGTCCTTGAGCCAGAGCTCTGGGGCAGTGGCTGGAAGTCACCTGGGAGTGGGACTCGGGGCACAGGGCCTGGAAGGGCTGAGGGCAGAGCTCAGCGGAGTCGCGGGCAGAGGGCACTGAGCAGTGAGGGGACGCCGAGGCCCGGCAGCTCCAGCGCCAGCCAGGGGGTGCAGGAGTGAGAGACCAGCCCAGGGTGGTGGGGGCTGCAAGTAGCCAGCTCTTCTCCGATGCACACTGGGAGGCTGGGAAAGAGGTGGGCTCTGGCTGGGAGGGTAGCTCTGTATGTATATGGCCCTGGGTTGGATCTTCGGCACCAAGCAAAACCAAACACACCCTCAAAGAGGCGGTTTACATTTTGGGGTTTTTTGTTTTTGTTTTTGAGACAGAGTCTTGCTATGTAGTTTAGGCTGGCCTTGAACTCACTATGGAGCACCAGCTGGCCTGAAATTTGCAGCGATCCTCCTGCCTCAGCCTCCCATTTACTGGGATTACAAATGTGTGCCACCTTGCCAGGTCCCAGCATATTTTAAAGTAAATTATAGATATGAAGAAAATCTGCCCCTAAAGTGGGACTTTACAGTCCAGCACTTCAACGGCACTAGCTAACACAGTCCGTGTGGTTTTTCCCAGTTTCTCCAAAATGTGCTGTGTAGCTGGTGTGTCAAAAACAGGTTGCTGCCAGGGATATAGCTCAGCAGCATAAGCACTCGCCTGGCAAGCCTAAGGTCATGAGTTCGATTTCTGGTGCAGGTTGCAGACCAGGGCCATGCACTGTGTTTGGCTGTCGTGATAGTGAATCTTTTTTTTTTTTTTTTTTAAATTTTAAAGAGAAAAGTAAAAAAAAAAAAAAAAAAAACAATAGCAAAATACAAACAAAACAAAGCAAGAACATTAAAAATGATACAGGGTTTAAAACTATGGAACGCTTCATGAATTTGCGTGTCATCTTTGTGCAAGGGCCATGCTAATCTTCTCTGTATCGTTCCAATTTTTAGTACATGTGCTGCCAAAGCGAGCACCCGACAGTGAATCGTAATTGTGGACCCGATGGGATTGAGAAGCACCCCAGGGATTAGTAAAGCACAGGCCTGGACTGTCTGTGGGTGGCCAAGACTGCAGGATCACGGGGCTCTCACGTCACCCTCGGGTTCATCCATCGAGGAGCTATAATGTGATGGTATTATGGGGCGCGGAGACTTGGAGGCAGGGCCTCTTGGTGGGCATGGCCTTGCGGACTACCGTCCGCTCTATGCTCTTCTGCCCTGGCTCTCTCCCTCTCTGCCCCCCACCACGAGGTGAGCAACTTTCCTCCTCTCCCTTGAACCAACTGACCTTGAACTGAAATCTCCAAAACATAAACCTCTCACCAAGTTGACCAATAGGACTCTGAAGGTTGTCAAATCTCTCTTAACAGAGGACAGGTCTTCCCCTCTTGTGACACAGGCATGTGAAGGTGGAAGATCTCTTGCTCCAGACTCATCACTGGGGTCGTTTGTTGTTTTGAGATGAGGTCTCACTAATCAGCTCAGGCTGGCCTCGAGCTCACAGCAACCCTCCTGCTTCAGCCTCCCAAGTGCTGGGATTACAGATATATACCACAGCATCCACTTCTGCTGTCATTTCACCCACTCCTCCATTCCTTGATGTTCCTGGCCGTGAGTGGTAAAGCTTCCCAGATTCTGGTAGATGGGTGAGGCTCATAGAGGCTTTCAAGCCAGACAGGAAGGCCAGACCTGCAGGACCTCCGGCCTTACAGAGAATAGCGCACACACCTCCCAGGGGCTGGTGAAAACTTGCACCTTCTGGGTGGGCGTGGTAGTGCACAACCGTAATCTCACTTACTTGGGAGGATGAGGCAGGAAGATCATGAGTTCAAGTCCAGCCTCAGCAACATAGTAAGAGCCTATCTCAAAATACAACATATGGCTAGAGATGTAACTCAGTGGGGAAGCACTTGCTTATGTGCAAGACCCTAGGAACGGGGTGGGAGGGTGCGTCCTGATTCAGTACCAGTCTGGGTTGTGATGCCCAAGCCGCGAGTCCTTGGGCCACACTGTGAGTCACTCGGGGACACCCTGCTGTGCAGAAGGAGCAGAAGGCCCTTGAGGGGCTGTCTAGGGTGAGTGTGTATCACCCCCCACGGGGTGGGAGGAGGCCGCCAATGCTGTCACTTTCTTCCGGCCCTGAGGACGCTGCGGGCAGCAGCCTGCTCCCAGGCGCTAAGCAGTCCATAGGGTTAACGTCTCTAGCTGTGAGCTCTGCACGAGGAGGTGCTCCTGAGAGGGCCCTGCCTGGACGGTGGCCTCAGATGCCTCCCTGGCCAACACCCCGTGTCCCGGCCTCAGGGCTCTGGAGGGCTGGGCTGAGGCCCTGAAGTGGGAGAGGAAGGAAGCAGGGAGCAGAGGAGGCCAAGGCTGTCGCCTCCCAGCCCGAGAGGGGCCTGTAGTAAACAGGAAGGCCTGGAGGCTCCACGCAGGGGCTTCGGAGGGGCGGGGTAGGGAGTCACACTGGACACGCACAGCCTGTGCGCACAGGGCTCCTGCTCAGAGGAAGCGGCCCAGAGAGGTTGTGTGGCTTCCCCCAGGTCACACAGCAGCTAGACCTTGCCTGCTTTCCTGTTTCTGTCTCTTCCAGGGTGCTAGTGCGGGGCTCCTGCCTGATTTGCTCGTTGCCGCTCACAGAGTGCTGGCCCTTCCTGGGCCTCAATTTCCCCCACTATGAGCTCAGGACCCTTACAGCAGAGATTCTGGAGTCCTGGCCCCCAGGGCCCCTCTGC